ACCCCGCTCCATACATTGCTAATTGTACCCTCATGGCTTCCTCCTCTCTATTCTCCATTTTAATGTTCAACAAGAGAAATGCTCATGTCTTCACTGTACCAAGCACACACTCACTGACGCACGCACACCTCAACAATGAGGTGCTCTGAAGTGAAAAAAAGGCCTAGAGGACTCTACCTTCTTTGCATCATTCACCCTCCACAAGCTAAACTGCACAGGACATATTGCACAAAGGACATTAATAATGTAATTAAAAAAACAATTCCCCCACTAAATACAAGTGGAAATACATTTCATGGCTGTATTCTAAAGGGGACGAAAAGAAAAGATTGAACGGGCGCATAAAGTTTTTATTACTCTTCAACTTTCTCAGTTTGCTGAACAGTAACAAATCAATGCGGTAATACAGCACGGGGTTGCCAGGGCCGTGCAATGGTCAAATATTTACACCCTCTACTCCAGGAGAGGACAAACTTTTGTGTTCAAGGGCCATATTTGATTTTTGTTTTTAAAATTGACAAACAGTTTAGGCTAGCCCATTCACAGATGGGGTTAAAAAATCAAAATGTGAATGTGAAATACTTTCTTTTAGTAATTAAGTATTTTATTTGTTTGAACAGTAAAATCAAATCAACAAATAATTTTTAGAAACCTGCCTTCGGACTATGGCCGAAAATTAGCATTTATGCCAAGTCTGGCGCATTTACACTGTTTATTTTTGTATTGATTAATGTGCAGTGTGCCAATGAACTAAAAATAAATAAAAAAAATAAACATATGCCATATGTGAAATTATTCATTTTGTTATTTGATTATTTACAATCAAAAAACAATTAAATAACAAAATTTTAAAAAGCAAAAACCCATCCATCCATTACCACTTTTAAGAAAATAAAATGGCTTAATTAATGTAACAAATGCTCGATTGGATTTAAGAATAGAGAGCGTAGCCCCAGGCCTTACTTTGCCCAAACCTGCCCCAAACAACGGACCTCACGTATCAGTCTAGTAGTGTTATATTATCATACTCTACCATTTTGGGACACTACAGACCAAGATCATGTTTGTCAAGGCATGAATGAAGTCAAGAGGTGACGTTCCAGTGATGTTACTATGTTGAAAATCACCAGGTTCCGGGCTGTGCCTTGGCTCCTACGGCCATGACGGACTGTGACTTTTAAATGAGCGCAGGGTGCATGAACCGACGAGAGCAGAGCAAAGCAGGTAGGACGAAGCATACAATGCTGTCAACGCACAGTTCGGATTCAGATTCAGATTGAGCACCTCAAACACCGCACACTACATCACTGAATCATCGTAATTCTCATATCTTATTAAAAATCCTTTACAAAACATTGGAACAGATTAAAAGGACATCTTGTGACTATCTCATATAAATATAATCATATTGTATAAGTCTAATTGTCACACCGTGATTGTATTTTGCTTTGTGTATTTGAACATCGTACCAGAAATGAAGACACGGGATATAAATACATGTCCTAAAACTCTGAGTAAAGCGGCAACAATGTGTTCCAATGAAAAGACAAGACATGGCATGCGCTCAATCACACCTCATTTTTGGGGGTTTTCCCAACCTGACCCAACAGCTAATCACTGAACTCGATGCTACAAAGTCTAAAAATTGAGCTGCGGCTCAGTGAGCCCCAGGCGCTCTCCCAACAGGACTTTCATTAAGTCAGTGGCCAAGATCCTATCTTGTGCACTTAGCAGGAGGCCCACTTATGGCTGTAAAGATAAAAGTCAGACAGTATATGCTTAAAATATAACATTCAAATCAGATTAAAGTAAAGACTATCGTAGAATACCAGCATATGCGCTAAGACAAATCGGTCTGATTAAGATGTGCTGAAGAATCTCTTTTCAATTGACTGCAAGTGGGCCATCCTGTTCGTAAACAATTCAAACGGCAGAATCAAAATGATTTGCCAATGTTAACTGCTTCAAATATGACAAATTACATAGCTCGTTAACACTCGATTTATGTGTGAATCGGTTGGTTGGGGACATCTGCGGGTAAGTCCTGTGATTCATGTAAACAGGAAGTTCCCGGAGCGTCGCAAGCTGTCACGTGACTACTGAAAATGCAGTTCAAAAATTGATTGAACACAACCAGAGAGAATCTTCCTCTGGTCTTTAAATACTCGACTGTTCGTTTCACATCACACACAATCACAGTTCCTATTTGGCTTACACATGGGTCCCCCTGAACGGTTTTATGTGACAGACATGGTAAAAAAAAAACAAAAAAAAAAAAAACAAAAGAAAAAAGGAACATGTAAAGTCAGTCGTGTGGCTTTACGTATGAACCTGGGAGAAAATTACAGAGTATATATTCTTCTGCTTTAGTTTGTCTCCCCGACATGATATATGTCAGGAGTGAGGACTCAGAGAAACAGTCAACTCCATGAATGCACTATAGAAGGTAAAGACCCTCATTAAAACTGATGGGAGTGAAAGGCTTGTTATTCAGTCACGGATGTGTGCATGTACGATATTTTCAGCAAGTGGGAGCAAGTCCGAATCATTGATGATTGTTGATGTCTGGAGGCGAGAGACATATACTCCACCTAAAACCCACAGCATTCTCCACTCACTGGCCACAACATGACATACAAAGAAAGTTTGATCCATTGCAGTCTTTTACGAAAGTACCCAGAAATGCATTGTCAAAGCCAACCATCATGTACACCACCAGGTACCCTCTTAATGCTACTGAATGCACGACAGAAGCTAAAACAAAAAAATCTGGCAACATGGTCTGAGTGAATGAATACCCCCCACCCCCATTTTCCATGTTACCCAGTTAAAAAAAATGTTTCAATAGATTGAAGATTGGTTCATTTTCTGATCGGACCGGTAATTGATTATCATTAAAAAAAAAAAAAAAAAGTTTCAATTGATGATCGCTGTAGTGATGGCGTGATGAAGCCCCTTGAAGCTTTGTTTGAATTTCAGCCATTTCGGTTCGAGCAATGGGTTCCCTTCTTGAAGCTTCATGTGCACACGAACCCACCTGCTGGCTATGTGTAGAATTACAGACATCTTAACTACACAATGTGTGATGCGCAGATGCATAGATGATTTTCGCGTCTGTTTTGACTCTTGGCATTGAGGGATTACAAAAAAATATATGAATAAATAATTTCTCAACATGAAGTGCATAGGCCTAATATGATATTTTTATGCTGTGTGAGTAAATGTTTTCGCATCCTTTCACATGATAGCAAAGTATAATGGGACACAGTATTTTTTTTTTTTTTTTTTTTTACCTTCGCAGTGAGGTGTTGTTATTGGACTCACTTTCCTTGAAACACAAACACCTCACTGTTGAAGAAATTAAATAGTGAAAACTACAACATAAAAACAACAACACCTTAATGCGTCCAGCCCGAGGATCAAGCTCACACATCTAATGTTCACTGAATTGAAAGTTGTGCACTCAGCCACTATGCTTAGCCTCAGCCTTGTTCCATACTTCACCAACACCCTCTTTCTTAAGGATTCCCAGGAGTGTTTACATTTGTACAGCCAAACTACCTCGAACTAAATTAAATGCTACTAACGAGGCTTTGGACCTCATCATTTTCGGCTTCTCCCCAAAACCACGCAAGGCTTGATGCACGCTTCAAAGCCTCGGCATGTCTCGCAACATCACGAGTGATCGGCTCCAAAGTCCTTTAAAACCTTCGACCAACCTTGACAAACTAAATGTTAAACTGGGGAACTACATCTGTATTCTGTATATGGTGAAACGTTGCTGTAATGAAGTAATTGGTGTTACGGGTCATCCGTTAAAGCCAACTGTCCGATGAATTGAAGCACTTTTATCATGGCCTAAACTCACCCAATAAAGTACAAAATTGTTTTGTACTTTTTTCCCCTTTTTTTTGCAGACTTTGCCAACTTCTGTACAAGAGCATTTTGAGTGGACTGGACAGTATTTTATGTCTGTTAAATCCATTAAATCAACTTTCAACTGTATATGGATATTTGCCATAGCAGAAAAATCTTGGTTGTTCCTTATACTTCTCCGATCCACGATATAACAACCAGAATAACAAACAACATCGTTGAATAAAATGTTTTAATAAAAGAGTTTTTAATGCTGCTTTTGTATCGGACCCTTTTACTGTTTACCAGCATTTCTGCACAAATAGAGACTCTGATGTTTAATGGAGCGATGAAGGTTATTTTTTTTCCCATTGCTTCCTGTATGGATGTATAAAAAAGGGCTTTAGGTGATGAAGCCAGCACAGAATCTCCTTGCAGGCCACTTTGCAGCCGAGCTCATAATGATGAGAGGCTAGATGCCATTCGCCACGACAATGAGCAGCAGCACTAAGTGGCCTTCGGCATGTCGAGGTAATGGTGGCTGACAGCACCTTACTTTAAGCCTGTTATTTGAAGCAAGAGCACCATGAACCAAACACACTCACTACTTGAGAGAGGGCGAAGAGGGAAACCACGAAATGCCAGATAACACTCTTTGAAATAGACTTCTGGAGGAGATATGACACACTTTCGTAGCAACGTGCAAATTGGCCATTTTGTGACATAAACAACACATGCATGCAAAGCAGAGAGAACATCCAAGCCTCATAACCTGTACACAATTAAGTGTGTGTGTTGTGTAAAAGCCTTTGGAAAGAAAGGACACACATGCGAGGGTCATTTGCATTGTCTGTACAGTGTATCCAGCGCAGAGCGTGCGAATGACACACGCACACACGCCAACGACGGGCCCGTTAGGCGCAAAAAGCAGCTCGTGATCACTATCCACACATAGACACACGCACACATACAATGGGGGGGGAGGGGAGGCGGGTACTGGTGGTGAAACGTGACTTACATCTCTGAATTTATCCCATCTTCCAGCGAGCCACTTATCATCCAAAAAATTGCCGCTGTTGGAACGAGCCGAGACGCGTCCGAGGACGACGGCGCACACGCACAGCAAGGCGACGCTCAGCATCTGCGGACCCAAACAAACAAACAAACAAAACGACGTCAGGTCGGGCTCCGCAGAGTCCGCCTCGCACCGCAAAATGAACACAACACGGCATCACGTCGACGCTGTGTAGTCGTGTAGTGGTGTTGAGTTGTTCGGTTCCCTCCGTGCCTACCTTGTCGTATCCGCTCGTCTGAACTACGTGCTAGCTGCTGCTCGCTGTCACCACGAATATCAGCTCTCTCTCTCTCTCTCTCTCTCTCTCTCTCTCCCCCCCCCCGTCTCTCACTCTCTCCCTCCCTCTACCTCTCCACTTGCAGTCTGTGCGCAGCGTGTCGTGCACGCGCAGGACACAGTGCTCGCGCTCTGACAATCACCTTCCTCTTAGGAAGCTGCAAAACGCTGACTGCCTATGTGGGATCAAGTTAGCATGATTTCTTTGGAAATAGTGAACGATACACGCTTCCGTATAACACGCACGATCGGATTGGTCGTTACCTGAGTTTTAAGCGGCTGCGATGTCATTTTCCAAAACCCAAAATATGACAGGTAGACTCTTTTTCAAAGGCAGTTTACTGGAGGAAAATGACTCTGAAAATGAACACCTCTAACAGAGGGTCGACCCGCTGGACTGGTCGCCAGTCAATCGGGGAAGTTTTCACACTCACCGAGGAGGAATTGAACCCACCAGGCAAATGATTGGAAGTTAAGGGTGATTTCTATTTCGCTTTCATTTTCAAACCCGTTTATCCTGAACAGGGTTGTGGGGAGTATCCCAGACTACACTCTCAACTGGTTGCCAATTGGTCACAGGGGCACATGTAGAGACAAACGTCCATTCACACCCACATGCACACCATAACTGAATGGGAACCGATCCCATGCTGGGCACACACTCGCCTGAGTGTACCACTACCCCACCAGTGACTTAATTTCTATTATTAATCTGGGAATATCACCAGATATTAATTTTGTACTCATCCACAATCCAATTTTTTTTGAAAAAAAGTGCATTGCACACAGAGCTAAGATCACTTGCTTCATTTTGGTGTTTCCACTTCAAAATATTCTGCTGAAATTTGTGAAAACATATAGCAATTAACTCATCATTGAGAACAAGATGCGAATAAATAATGGAAACAAATGAGAGTCTTCGGTTCTTCTTAGCAGGGGGTCCTCGGTTCAAGACCCTGACATCATACCAACACATTCTTACACCGCTGCAGAGACTCGTTCACTGAATGCAGTTAGATAACTGGAATCTTGAACGTTGGTACTGCCATACAGAGGACAGAGGAGACTAAGGAGGGCAAAAAATATGCATCAAAGGGGAGATTGCGGACTCCAGAGATAAGGTACAGCAATTGGCCAAAATGCTACAATTAGCATATATTTATTTAGGTCGTTTTATGCCATGTAGCCTCAAAAGCAGCGGAGAAGCAAATCGTGAGTTACTGACCCGAGTAGGTACAGTGTATTCTGTGGAAATGGGGCATTGATATAGTTGCTCAACCTAGTGGAGAAATGGTAACGAACAGTTCTATCAGTCACAGCGTGTCAACACTGGCCATCTAGAGACTGAAGAGACACAAGGCGTGACCGAATAATGTGTCAATCATTTTTTTTTCCACCCACCCACACACTCAAGCTCACTCACTCTGCCGGTCCCGGATGTATCACACAGCTTCGTCATGCTGACAGTTTTCTTGGGCACATTATTGAACTCGGTTAGCAATCAAAGTTAAAAAGAAGGAAGTGGACAGCCCTAGAGACAAATAAAGGGTATATATGTGAAAAAGTGATTCATGCAGAAGGCTGCGTCACTGGAGCTGGAAAACAAAAAACACCTAAGTCGTGAAGCAACATTGACATATGGAACATTGCAGACTGCACCTGAAACTGCACATGCATGTCCTACTGTTAATTGAGTTATTATTTCAAAGGGACTTTTGGGTAAAAAGGTTGGCACACCAGTCCAATGTAATTACGTGTATTTGGTGGTGCATTATGATAGTAATAATAACAATAATAATTATTGCAAGTTTGATTTAGTCACTGTCAGATATTAGTTCAACAACAGATATAATATTGTGATTTTACAAAGTAGTTTGTGGTGTACAACTTTGCTGCAATGAAGTGAAGGACCCAAATATGAAACATCCATCCATCCATGATTTGAACTACCGTACTTATCCTCACAAGCGTCACGGGTGTGCTGGAGCCTATCCAAGCTGACTTCGGGCAGCAGGCGGGGCAGAACCTGAACTCGCTATTAGTCAATCGCAGGACACCCACGTAGGGACAATTTAGAGTGTTCAGTTTACCTCCAGTGGATGTTTTTGGAATGCGAGAAGAAACCAGAGTACCTGGAGAAAACCCACACAAGCATGGGGATAACATTCAAAACCCCACATAGGAAGGCCCAGATTCAAACCTGGACCTATATTCTGTGCGGCGAACATACTAACCCTTTGTTCACCGTGTCGCCCGAAGAAACATATCTCAGTATAACACCTCAGTAAAACAAAATATGTATGATGCATTTCTTGAATGTCATTAGTTTGCCCAGTTAATTATCATTTCAACCTCCAATAACACTTGAGACATTGTGCGTCCTAATCCAAACATCAATGAAAGAGACACTTCTTGCCAGGACAAACTTGACGCGGAAGGCACACTCAGGCACGATGTTTGACAGCCTGACGTCTGTGGCGGGAAGGAGGGTGCTGAGCAAGCTTCTGTCCATCGTGGACTATCCTCAGTATCCAATGTACAGCGTCGGTTCTAGGCTGCAGGGGAGCAGCTTCATTGCGGCTGATGTTGCTGTTGTGTTCCAATGACAGATTGCGGAAATGCTTTCTTCCCGATGCCATGCGGGCTTTTAATTCCACCCTGGGAGAGAAATGCTCATATCACTTTTCCTCAACTCTTTACTGTCGTGCCAACATCTTCCACACTGCTCACCAAAGCACCTTATTCTGTACTTTTAGACAGCACTGATATGAATGTTATTTTTATTTCTGCATTTAAAAAAGACAAAAAAAACTTATAGATAATGTTGACAATTTTTTTCACATATATCATATCTTTAGATACAGTACACTGATTTTTTAAAGTAAATATACAGTATAGTCTACTAAAAAATGTATATATCATGTAAGTTAATGTAGCATTTATTTCGACATATAATCTTGCCTTTATACACAAGAGTGCAAGTCCGTATTGGTGTCCTTTTTTTATCCTCGGTTTGTCCCCTGTTATTCACACTCGAGCTTGGTAGTGGTGACTCATGAGGGTTTTAGGCACTTTCCTGGCAGAGGATGGCTCAGTACTGTAAACTGATGCTCGGAGATGATATTGTCCGGTTATAAAAAAATGCAACTTAGTGACCCACTCTGAATGATTTGTGGAACTAAGTGGAGAAATACGATGTTTCTGTGTTTATGCTGCAGTATGAAACAGGTTTTAGACAGCAGATTTGTTCCAGTGGTGTTTATCATAGTTGCTTTACCAGAGTTGAGACGATTGACGAAAATATTTTTTTACAAAAGCACTTGGAAAATAGTGAACCTCAAGGTGTGTGCTGTCAAAAATATCATCATGATGTGCAAATAGAAAATCATATCCAGCCGTTGAATTTTTTTTTTTATTAGTTTTATAGTGATCTGTTTAATTTGCAGGGTGAGGGAGAACCTTGCTCTATGTGCATGCTGAGCTACAGTACAAGACTAATTCTAGTCACATTTTATGCAAAATACCAATTTGGCTCAGCTGCTGCTTCTTTTGAGATTAGTGCGTAATTTTGTGTTCTTGGGTACAACATGGACAGTCCTTCCTCCCAAATTGAATGTTAAACTTAGAAATATGCTGTTTATGTCATATATCTCATGTGAATGGAAAAAATGGAGCTCATCCTGACTCCAAAAGGTTGGAGAAAATCAAATGTTGATGAGGAACTGGTATGAAAAGCCCAAAAACAACAATAATTGTTAAAATATTGTATTATGTTTTCTTGTATGAGTGAAGCAGTGATTCGGCAGTTTGCTGTTCACCAATAAACTGTGATAAAATTAACATTAGCACCATATTGTTTAGCTTTTTTGAGAGTAGAAGTTGCCTTCTTCGTTTCTCCCATCCAGTTCCACGCCACTATGGCAGAAGAAGACATCCCATTGGTATGGTGTCTGTTATGATGAAGATTCCTGTAGGAAGCACTCCAATGTACTGGTGCCTGCTCACTTGTGGACACGGTTTATGCGTGGCATTTCAAGAGTACTTATCAAAGCGCTCAGTGAAGTGCTCAATTTACTTAGTTTTGCGCGTTGGGAAGTAATCCAGTCTAGCAAGACACAGCTATGGACCTGAGGAAAATGAAAAGGTATGAGCTGAGGGTAGAATTGCTATTATGGTGGTGGTCAGTAGGGTCAAAACATCAGTATGTGCAGTTGCTGTAGAGACCATCCAAGGCTGCAGCTTCAAATAGTCATCTTCACAAGAGGCGGTGGAAAAAGATGAATGTGTGTGTGTGGGCATGTGGGAACTATGACAGGGTTCAGATCTGAGAGGTGAGAGTCAAATTAGCATTATAAAGCAAGCATGCATGATTGAATCACGAAAGCTTCTCCGGTCAGGTGTGCCACTAAACTGCTGAAAGATGTCAGCAGCAAAAGTACACACAGGTTAGAAAAAAAGAAATGAGCTGGGGTTGTGGTTCAATCTGACAGGAAATCTGCTGCGTGTTCACAGGAAACTCAAGAAGCCAACATATTGCTCTGCTCTTTCACATCAACAAAAGAAGCCTTGTGATGACAGTGGCACTACGGGAAAATGTGGGTGATATTTGCCTAAATGGAGTCAGTTATATGTGTGTGTATGTGTGCGTGCGTGTGTGCGTGCGTGTGTGTGTGTGTGTGTGTGTGTGTGTGTGTGCGCATTGCGAGCCATGGGCCTCATACATTATTCATCCTCAGACATTAAAGATGTAGATGTGGTCAGCAACAGACAGACACAAGCTCATACACATGCGAGTATGCAGATACAAGCACTGAATCAATTATAACCATCAGTTTCCCAATGTCATAATAATCCTAATACCGCCCCTATAAGCTTCACCATTTCCTATTACCGTATACCTGTACTTGCGTTTACACACACACACACGCACACACGCACACACACACACACACACACACACACACACACACACACACACACACACACACACAGGAAAAGATAAGAATAAGGGAGGAAAGTAGGTTGACATCTTGTGTGTATGCATTTTGATGGGCGAGGCATGAAATGTGTCTCAAGGAGTAGAGA